AAACATATCAAACATATCCACATCTAATTCCACCTTAAAATGAAAATAAATAAATAAATAAATAAATAATTATAAAAAATCATCTTACAAGTACTGTAAGTACATAAACAAATTTCTCCAAGCATAAAAGATTTGGTATTGCCAGAAGAGAATCTGTCTTTTGCTCCACATACTGCAGAAAATCATTCACTACTGCTCTGCCTGGCCAGTACTAAAGGAGTGTCGATTTATTACAGCGCTGCTGTCTGGCTGATAACAGAGGGTTCGACATACAGCGTGAGCTATGGGGGAGCGGAAAACTCTTTATCGACCACGGTACAAAGCATATATTCTTTGCAAGTGTGGGCCATCTATTGATTGTCCCTGTGGAACGCCGTGTGTCTTGGCTGCCAGGCCGAAAAGTGAGCTCAGGGAGCCTGCTGATGTACAGCACTTCTGCACATGTCACAATGACAAACTACACACAGCTAACACGCTATTCGCTTTCATGTGCTTGCACTAGCTCAGTCTCACAACCAGCACAAAATACTTTGCCCTTCTGCCTCTTCCCTTCTTTTTTCTATATTGTATTATATTATACTATACTATATTTTATATGTTTTTTCTTTTAAGTATTTGTTACTGTGCAAGAAAGCAAAGTGAAAGTGTAATTTATTTCTGTGATGGCAAAGCTGAATTCAGAAGCCATTTATATAATAATAACATTCAGATAATAATAATATATAGATAGATATAACATATAAAAATATATTTTTGCATTAAGTTTATATTTTTATATTAAGTTATATTTATATTAAGTTTGCTGCAATTACTAGAAGTATTCAATTCACAAAACTCAAGATTTTCCTGACAGCATAAAGCAAAAAAGTAATTTTCCTCTTTATTTATACATTTTGCAAATTTCGAACACAGAAAAAGTTACATAGTGCTGCTTTAAGTGCAAAAAAATACAAAAATAGCCACTGTTACTCCCACATACACTTTTTAGTTTAAATATTACCATAAACAAGACATTTACAGCAAAATATTTGACTAAAATCATTATTTTTGTAAAAAAAAAATATATATATATATAACTAAACTTCAGATGTGATTCCCATGATCAGTATCGATAAAGGCATACCAAAGCTGTTCGGTGAAGTTTCCTTCCTAAATATATGAGAGATGCAATGTGATCTTTTCTAACCACCACCTAATCTGGTTTCAGTAACTCGATGACAAAATGTTTTGAAACCTGTTTACACCTACAGAATATTTATCACTGTCCACTTGATCAGATCACCTGAAATGGATGTAAATACCATAGCCAGTTAAGAAAAATTGTACGAACATGTGTGAAGCATGAGAAAAGGCTCTTTCTGTGTCAGTGTATGATACCTCCTCTCTGTCCAGCAGCAGCATTTGATAGTCAGTGACCACACAGAATTTGGGGTTCCACACAGCATGTTCCGCACACGGGTGACCACATGACATCCAGTGGCCTGGAGGACCCCTCATATCTGACAAGACAAAAAGAAGACCAGAAATAGAGAATAATGAGAATGACAACAACAAAAAAAACCTCTGGAAAATCAGAAGAGACGCGAGGTGAAGGGATTTTTACAACTCCCTGTCTGGATCATGTGTTTAAAGACTGGCCTATGCCATTCCATTTACAGATCTGCAAAGCAAACAGCTCCTGAATCTGTAGCAGACAAGTCTTCCCAATGAAACAAGAGTGCATGGCACACATTTATATGGTAATGAGTCCCATGTGCGCCAGCTCTTGCGAGAATGAGATTTCCAAATATTTCACCAAGTGAGCAAGAAATATTGCCATGTTAATTTGAATTTGACATAGAGAATGTAAGTACAGTGAATTACAACACTGTCATAGTTTTGCTTTTTTGCATCTCATACAGAGACACTGACATGCCACATGGAACGTTAACAATCTCATCTTGTTTCAGAACATTGAACAAGCCTGCTGGACTCTGTTCTCATTCTCATTCATGGTGAGCCTTTGCTTCTCATGCTGAATGAAGGTACAAAGCCTTTTACAGCCAAAAAATTAATGTGTTGAAGTTTAACTGTTACACTTAGTGTGCTTTACAATTGGAATCTGTGTCCATGGGTGCTCTCACAGCACAGCAACTGTGAAACGTTATAGATTAATGTATTGTTTAATAACATCGTAATTAGTGTAACAGTGAATATGAAAAGACTAAAGCACAAGGTAGCATATTAAACAGCAACTTTAACACCATCCAATGGTGAGCACAGGTTCACGGCTCAGGAAGTCTAAAGAAACATAAGGTGTGTGAGGTATTAGTAGTAATATACAGGTGCATCTCAATAAATTAGAATGTCCACGACATTCTAATTTATTGAGATGCACCTGTACAATTAACCTACACTACTACTCAAGTTTTTGAAAGAAGATTAATTCCTGTGATGGCAAAGCTGAATTTTCAGCATCATTACTCCAGTCTTCAGTGTCACATGATCCTTCAGAAATCATTTTAATGTGCTGATTTGGTGCTCAAGAAACATTTCTTATTATTGTTAAAAAACAGTTAGGTTAGGTTAATATTTTTGTGATACATTTTTTCAGGATTCTTTGATGATTATGAACTTCAAAAGAACACAATTTATTTGAAAATTAAATGTTCTTTTGTAACATTGTAATTCTTTACCGTCACTTTCGATCAGCTTAATGCCTCCTCGCTGAATATAAATTTATTAATTTATTTTCAGAAACTCCAGAGATGCAGTAATACAGAGTGAGATAAGACGTCTGACTTACTACACAGAAACTGAATTCAGGAAATAATGCCCATCAACGAAAGATGTCACATGACCTCTTGCCTTTAAAAAACTACTAGAGTTTAGTGAAAACATGGAATATAAAGACAAATCCTGCTTAAGATTCATTTGACTCTATTAAACTCTTGCACATGCAATCATACAGAACAGATGTGTGTGACTGTGTGCTTGTTGTAAAAAAAAAGATCGATAACTGCTTTGTCTCTCATGTCTTAGTCAACTCCGTTACTATCTCCATTATTGTAACCATAAGCAATAGTGTGCGAGTATGTGAGACTGTGTATACAACACATTTAAATCCTGTAATCTTGCAATGAGAGAAGTCTTTTCTTTTAATTCAATGTGATTGTGCAGATGCAATTAGCAGTGCAGAAGCATTCTGAATGCCGGACACTGTACACAATCAATGCCTGCTAGATAATGAGCAATACAATTAATAGCCCCCTCGAAGGAATATACACACAACTTTTAAGGCAACCACTACAAGTCTATCATGTACACAAACCCACACACTGCTTTATAAAGATGAACATATGGCTAGATACAAATTGCTAGAAGCAGTAACTTTTCTCCCAAGATAGAGGTAGCTCTGAAGTGGCCAATCTGTTCTCCTCAAAGCACAAATGCCTACATGGAGTCATGGACCAAGAAAAACAAACCACGATCTGTAAAAATAAAATTATAAAGATGAATTAAAGTGTAACAATAAATTTGGTAGATGTATAATAAAACTGTTAATTATAATTGATTTATATCTTAAACTAAAAGAAAACTTGAAAGGCCTTCACATTGACAGTGTGCCTATAACGTTGTCAAAGTAGGCAGCTCATTAGGTTTTGGAATAGGTTTAGGCCTAATGTTTCTGGGGGGAAAAGCAAAACTTGTCTTCAGATAAGTAAGAAATGACAGAATTTCAGCTCCTGTAACTCCTCAGTATTTCGGGTCCTGGATCCCTGACAGGATGTTGTTATGCAGTGATACAGCACACAAGGTGGGTAATTAAATGTGATCTGCTGCTTCATTCCTTCTCCTGTTAAGAAATTAGGGCCTGGTTTTATTCTCAGTTACTTCAAAGTGTCATTTAATGGCTCGTGGCTTCATGCTATTATCAAGAGGGCAATTGGTCTCAATCTTAGCAGGCCGTTTTCTACTTCTCTAAATGAGCACTTCAGTAATGACCACTGCTTTGATTTGATCAAATTATTTATAGCATTTTCGGTTAGAGGACGTTAATAATTTTTAGAATTATTGCCTTTTCCACTTAATCTGCTGAATCCATTCATGATGTGGTCACATCAAAAAGGAGATTATTTTATGCCACTGCCAAAGTGAAGCCCTTATCAGCGCAGTAACATGCACACAATGGAGGGGAGGAGAGAGGGAGCAAAACACAAATGGCACAAGAGAGAGGGAAAAAAAGAGATTATTGCAAGTGTGACATGAAGGAGACACAGAGGATTGTCTCTCACCCACATTGGCTGAAATTGTCTCTGTGACCCATCAGTAAGGTTTAAAATCCCCCTTTATCCAAAAGAAAATTAGAAATGTGTTCCTTTTATCCCACATTACTATCATTTGAATTATCATTAATTTTATTAAAGTGTAAAAAATCATACACTTTTAATTATAACAAATCAGTAGGGGAAAAAAACAGACTATCCAGGTAGCTTCTTCTGTTTAATAAGGTACCTAAGCGTACCCCTCTTGGATAAATGCACCAAATTAACTCACACATTACCAGTTCAGCACTGCACATGTTATACTAATACATTTCTTAAAAAGATAATTAGCGACAGTAAGAAAATGCATTCAAGGAGACCGGCACTGGATCTTCTGCACTGCAGGTTGTACTTGGATAAACACAAGTAATTGGGCATTTCCCTCAGAGAAAACAAGTGAGAAAGAGCAAAAACCTGTAAGATCCAACAAGCCTTTCAAGTTGTACATTCTTTGGTTTACTCAGAATCAAACGTAAAACTGCTTGTGCGTTGAAACATCTGACTTAAAAACATAAGATCAAGATAAAAAACTCCTAGTATAATGCAGATTATAACAATTGTGTCTGAACTGTTATTCAGTTTTCAATAAACAACCAACCAAATACAACAAATCAGAAAGAAGGCCTTCATGGTTTTGTTGCTAAAGAGTTACACCGATTCAGAAATTTGTATGAGATTTAATGAGAATTCTCTAGTGTTTCTAGAGATTCTAGTGTTTATGATTGTAGGAGGGCATAATTAGATCTGGTAGAGACAATGTGAATATATGATCATCAGGTCAGAAATGAAGATAAGTATAACACACAATAAACAAACAAATCATGTTTGTATTTGCCTGCAAAATATTCCTTTATCCAATAACAAAACCAAGTCTGATAACACAGTGCAGGGGATTGAACAACTATAACACCATAAGCTCTAGGCCTAAATAATGTGTTACTGCGAGAAAAGAGGAAATCCTTAGAAAAAACAAAAACAAAAAACAAACACATACATACACAACCCTCTACATTGCGACTAAATCTTCACTCTGGCGACTAAATGATGTCTAATATTAGCCAATGGCTAATAAATTCTTAGATTTTACTCGCCAGTGTGTGAGTTGGAGGCTAAGTATAAGTTTAGCTCAGATATATTTTCACTCGCTGAACACTCTCTGACTGAGCGCTTCAGAGTTTCTCTCTCCGCCAAGCGATCTGTGCTATTTTTCAGTTCATTTAAATGGATGCGCAGCGCACCTGTATTTAACGTACCGTAAATTCTAGTGTGAAGGTGTACACCTTGCCGTCACTTTGTCTCACACACACGCAGAGAGAATTGACGCGCTACATGTAAACGATATTCTTTGTTGTATTTTTATCAGTATTTTTGTTAGTTTTTTTTTCCCAATTTTTTTACAGAAACACTGAATGACCAAAAAGCACCAGCACCAGTCAGTTCAGTTAAAACTACTAATATGCATTCTTACATGGTTATCAAGTTTAAATTCTAATTACTAAAGTTCTATAATTAAATAATACTTGATTATCATATTATAATGCTTGACTGACTGATGTTAACAGTGTACTTTCAGATATTTAAAAACTGTGCCATTTTTCAAACATTTTCATGTACAGTCGTGGTCAGAATTGTTGGCACCCTTGGTAAATATGATCAAAAAAGGCTGTGAAAATAAATCTGCATTGTTAATCCTATTGATCTTTTATTTTTTTTAAAATGTACAAAAATATAACCTTTCATTAAAGAATAAGAATTTAAAATGGGGGGGAATCTCATTATGAAATAAATGCTTTTCTCTAATACATGTTGGCCACAATTAATGGTACCCTTTTATTCAATACTTTTTGCATCAACCTTTTGCCAAAATATAATAATAATAATAATTCATTACATTTATATAGCGATTTTCTGGGCACTCAAAGCGCTTTACATTGTCAGGGGGAGCTCCTAACAGCAAAGATATCTGACCATAGAACCCAGTCCTGTTTGAAGTTCCAGTAGTGTCTGGCAAATGAATATGTTGGAGTTTGTTTTTGGATGAGAGCATTTTCTTTTCTTTATTTTATTTCTTGAAAACCTCCCAAACAACATCTGGTGTAGGTGCTGTTTGACAAGTTTTTTTTAGGCTTTCTGACCCCAAGACTCAACTAATCTCTGCTATTCTGCAGCTGTGGTCCTTGGAGAGCCTTTAACCA